ACGCTCTTGAAAGCTCCCCAAACCACTCGTCTCTTTCTGCTCAGCTCCAGAGCTTAGTCGTTCATAATGTTGATTTACTCAACTACACAGACGTAACTGGTGCATTCGGAGGCATTCATTCCGCTGAGCGTGAAAGGGGCATACATAATCATTCCGTACATGAATATCGTTCTCATAAGATTTAATCGAAGACAAATCTTTCCACAGAAGTTATCAAAGTCGATAAGCATTCGATCTGCATGGCAAATAGCTGGTGTTATAAGAACGATGTCATCAGCAAAGCTAAGATGGTGTAATTGGCGACCACCGATTTTCACTCCCATGTTGTCCCATTCCACTGTTCGCATAACGTTGTCCATGGATGCGGTAAACAATTTCGACGAGATGGTATATACTTGCTTTACCACTTTTTCGACATCGATGTTAACATCTTTACAGAATGATGAGAATTTTAACTCTTTTATTTACTGCCTTTTTTCATCTTAATGGCAGGGTATGTTTCGAATTATAACTCGTATGAGATGCTGAGATATTTGCAAAACTCCGGACCACAAGTGTATGCAGTGGGGAACGAACACGCGCTGTTGTCCTTACCGGGGAGCAGCGCACTTCACCACTACACCATCCGGGTCCTTCGCTTTGCATGTCTCTCAGCTAGTTCTATCGATCTTTTTGCCATCAGCAATCACCTGTCAACGGGATTGATCTGCGGAGCCAATATCCGGGACCCGGATGGTGTAGTGGTGAAGTGCGCTGCTCCCCGGTAAGGACAACAGCGCGTGTTCGTTCCTCACTGCATACACCTGTGGTCCGGAGTCTTGCAAATATCTCAGCATCACATACGGGATGATAATTTTGCTATAAAATTTTTATAGACCTCACGAAGAGTCCTTATATAATGAGCAGGGAGGCCCTGATTGCCCAGTGCTTCCATGACTATTTCTGTCCCAACTTTTCCATCTCAACTGAGTGAGAAGCTTCCTTTAAATCAATGAATGTGAGTTAGAGTGGTCTCTTGCGCTTTCGCGATACGCCAATGAGCCTTGATACCCTGTGTATGTGGTCCATCGTGCCATATCCTCTCCAAAACCCTGCTTGCTCACATGGCTTTCAGGGCGTTAACGTGAAAGTGATTTTTGAATGAGCCGATCATATTCTTCGATGATATTATCGAGAACGGCATCTTTCCAATAGCCGACTAGTGAATTGAATGAATCCCAATTAATGGTGCTTTTAGGACTTCGTTTTTTTTTAATTTAGTGGCTTTTTCTCTTTTTTGAGAGAAATGGAATCTAGCACGAGGAAGGTGGTAGTCTGATCCCGTCCAGAACTTTGGAACAACAGCGACTTCGGTTAGGTAAAATAATCGATTTATTGTGATGTGATATATTTCGTCACGGTACTCTCCATTTTGAGGTTGTCACGTCCAGCGTTGAGAGGGGAACCTCAGGAATTGCGAGTTAACACGAACGGTCCTTGTCGTCATAATGAACCCAGGCAGTTCTCACCCTGCTCGTTCCACTCTAACCCACGGATCCTAATGTGACGTTCTTCTGTGTCCAAGATTCTCAAAAAATATGTTAGTCCCAATCCGTTCCATCCATAAACGTTCGATCCGAGTTGTCAGTTGTTCGGATGAACCGATACCTGTGGCCAACTCGTGTTAACGAAAATGCCAACGCCGTCGACTCCATTACTGTCGCATGTTCCGCTGAACAGTTTTTCTCAGGTGCTATAGACGACTTTGAATGAGTGCCGTCTTCCTATCCTGACCAGTCCGATGACGTCACACCTCATCTTTCTAGGCTGCATGACCAAGTCTGCTATCGCGGACTCAACTGCAAGTGTGGGTACAATGTGAGCATAGATCGTCACCTTGGTCCTTCGAGATTTAGGCAGGCAGTCTAGAATCGCCCTAAGATTTTAGCAACCTATCCGTACTTGTCCTACCCAACGGTTCCGCATTGGAAGTCCAATAGGGGTTAGCCGAATGAAGCCCTCTTATTCTACTGTTTAGCGTCTGACGCCCATGCATAGCTTAAGCTCTGACCGGGGGTTGGGTACACTCACAGGTAGCTTGCCAGTCTCTCCCAGAGTGGACATGAAGTTTGTTTGTTGGAGGCAACTTCTAACCACCTTCCATAAACTTCTCCGTCACTTGATTGCAGGCTTTTGGCCGAATTGACACGTAGAACGAATGCGAGAACGCAACAAGACGTCCTCGTAAATACAGAAGGTCAGTGTCAAACCAACGTAGCATTGTCCATCCTTTGAATCCCGCCTCGGGAAAGCATTACGTCGCTTTTGGTCCGCGATTAATCCTCCATCTGCCACCTGGAGAAGCGCCACGGTGCCTCGCGACTAAGCGGCATGAGATCCCTCTGAGGGACATTCGAGGAATCTATATCGAGGAAAATTAATCGAAGTTACTGAATACCCAGCGTCTTCGCAAAATACATCCCTAGAATCTAGAAAATATAGGAAACATACAAAAGAGAGCTTAATGTTTATTATTTGACAGAAAATCCTGGTGATCTAATCAACAACGACCATCATGTATAGCACATCGATAAAAACTGTGTCAAGAACATTAAAACTCTCTCAAAGTCCGAACAATAATTATGACACAAGCAGCAAACACGACATTACAGAGCACCTAACATTGGGTATGTCTATCGGGCTTAACAATAGACTAGAGCACTCTTGATTATAACCGAATTGTCCAAATGAATTAATAGTAAGTAAAACATTTCCAAGATCAATCAATCTTCTACTAATCTTCTCCTACATAACTAACCGAACTCTTTACGAATTGACATGAAATCTTTATTCAACATATTTCAAAATGGACACCAATTACCTTCGTCAGTAACAACTGTTCTTGTGCTATTCTGTGGGTGCAAAAGGCAATCAATCGCCGCAAGACCCACTGCTGACCGGCTTCGCATGGTATTCTCGCAGTCAGAGAAAAAATTGTTCACTTCTAAATACAAGAGCGGTTTGAAAAAACAGTCCGCTGTATTTTATGAACGCATTTGTGATAATGCGTGTGTGTGGATTTCGGTGCGTATGGAGCGAAAACTATGTCTGCCTTCAACATTGAACCACAGTGTCTCAGCCCATATTGAACGTTATTAAATGCAATAAATAAACCCATTAGAATCTATAGATCTTCATCTCTGAAACACAAGTTTTCATATTCTTCCAGGACTGAGTTCTGGTTTCCTGGATCCCACAGAACGTTATTTTTTACCTTTTTCTTCGTTGAGTCTCGCATGGTCAGGATGAGAAGACGCCACTCATTCAGCGCCGACTATTGCACCTGGGAAAAACTGTTCAGCGGAACATGCGACGGTAGAGGAGTCGACGGCGTTGGCATTCTCGTTAACACGAGTTTGGTCACAGGTATCGATCCATTCGAACAATTTATTTTAGCTTTAGCTAAGATTGGACACAGAAGAACGTCACATTAGGATCCGTGGGTTAGAGTGGAACGAGCAGGGTGAGCACTGCCTGGGTTCATTATGACGACAAAGACCGTTCGTGTTAACTCGCAATTCCTGAGGTTCCCCTCTCAACGCTGGACGTGACAACCTCAAAATGGTACCGTGACGAAATATATCACATCACAATAAATCGATTATTTTACCTAACCGAAGTCGCTGTTGTTCCAAAGTTCTGGACGGGATCAGACTACCACCTTCCTCGTGCTAGATTCCATTTCTCTCAAAAAAGAGAAAAAGCCACTAAATTAAAAAAAAACGAAGTCCTAAAAGCACCATTAATTGGGATTCATTCAATTCACTAGTCGGCTATTGGAAAGATGCCGTTCTCGATAATATCATCGAAGAATATGATCGGCTCATTCAAAAATCACTTTCACGTTAACGCCCTGAAAGCCATGTGAGCAAGCAGGGTTTTGGAGAGGATATGGCACGATGGACCACATACACAGGGTATCAAGGCTCATTGGTGTATCGCTGAATTCATATGTGGCCTACATAAATGACTTGCTATAGCTTAATAATGTCAGATATCACTGCTGATATCCTCTTAGAGCAATCTGGTGCAAAACCCCAGAAGAATGGAAGGCTTGGTGGGCCCATAACAGCAAAGCCGAAAATTTCTACAAAATCTTAGTTCCATGAATGACATCGTCATCCTATCAAGATGACCAACGAAGTAGAGACGATGCTAAATGAGCCCAACGAGAAGGGAAAAAAAGACTTAATTGCGCATGAATGGGCCGACGAAGACCCAGTTCATGAAGGACCCATGGCCCAAAGGTGAACAAATCAAACTCGATTGCTCTGATTCCCGAAACCATCTCGTATGTCCACGCTGGACGTTCAATGAACAAGGAGAACAGCGTGAAGGATGAATTAGACAGAAGAAGGAGAGCAGCACATGTTTTATTGAGGCCACTCAAAGGAGTCACCGACTAACTAAAGGACCCAAAACTTCGGATTTAGCTTCTCGACTCAACATCCCACCTAGCGCACAACGTGCAGCTCAGATTCTCGGAAGTTATCCCATTTTTCAGATCCAGGAGATTACATATCCATAGCGAAGCACAGTTGGACAACCCAAATAAGAAGAAGAGATAACACACGGACGAATAGAACTGGTGAGCATACTCTGAAAGTACCCCCTAGGACGACTACGCACACGATGAGGTAACATGTTTGTAACTAAAATCAATCAGCTGTACTCGCAGATATAGATGCTTTAAACATCACGGTAATGAGACTCGCACCGCCCCATACTCGAATCAAATCAGCATGGAAGACCATCGAGAAGCAATTGCTGAGGCCCGTACTCGTGAAGACGGGCCGTCGAAGTGTCCAAGTAAGTATTTTAAGATGATAGTCATTAATACGACAACCTTAAAGAATCAAATTTAGAACTACTGCGAATTAAGGTTCTAAACCACACGACTGTAATTCTTGTAAGTTAAAGTAACACATAGTTTAAGGGAGTAATGAAAATTATACCTGGACCTAGTGTAAATCGGACTCAGAAAATCCAAGATCGCGTCGTCGTCGACATACATCATCATGAATGGCTCCAAGGTTCTCATGCGATGAGTCAATGTAACAAACACGTTTCTCTCCATCAAAGTCAACTTCTTTAGTGTTCTACAATTTCTCCTATTACCTTTGTAACTGGAGAACAAAACTTATCAACAGAATATTCATGTTTGTTCTTGACACTTTTACTTACAATTTACGTCCCCACAACAATAGTGTTTATCATTGCTTTCTACATGAGTAGTAAACCCTATACATTGTACAGTTATGCACTGTTTTCGAATTCTTTTGACAATTTTCGAAGGTAGTTACTGACATTATTTCAGTAACACGATATAATGGATGTTTCAATAAATGCCACTCAATTTCATTAAACAAACTTCCAATTTGTAATCTCAGCTCCATCCATGAATAGGAGACAAAACTTGATACGCAAATGAAGGACCTCACGACGTTGAGCAATACGTTTACCATCATGATATGCCACCCTTTAACGCATAAGTTTATATCTTACTTATTTGATACTTGAATGGCCCGTCCTCACTGGGTATGCAGGCCGCAACGTAATCTCCACTTTTCGGAGATTTGTTGGTTAAGCCATTATGGTTCCCTGGAATCCCGAGGTCAACCTGGGCAAAGTCTGCCCCAGGTCTTCACCACCATAGGCGGTCGCAGTCCTCGTGGATCAGAGGAATATTTTCCACTACGCGACTTTGATACCAGGACGGCTGTGGATCCTGGTATTGGTTTATACTTAGCTAGGCTTCCTGATGGAAACGCAATGAATCCCCGCTGTGCATCGCAGTCAGTCCGACACCCAAGAACATCTCCCAGCCTCCCACCTTCCGATGAGGCGGTGAACCGTTGGGAGAAAGTTTACATCTTATATAAAAAATAACCACAAGTGGTTAAAATAGTATATTCATAAAACCTACATACCGATATGGAGTGCGCCCACCACACTGAAAGCCAAACGCAAAAGAACGTTCCGACTACCTAAAAAAGACATGGAATAGATAAGCTGAATTGAAGTAGCACATTTCATAAACTTGAAAAAAAAGAAACATTTAATAAAACATTGAAGATTATGAGAAATATCAGAGACATATCTCGAGCAGGTGAACATTAGAATAAAGGAAAACTCTTACTAAAAAAGCAATCCAAGCTATAATTGGATAAATCGGTAAATTTGGGAACATATGCCGTCCAAATTTCACGCATATCGCAGCTTCGGATGCTGTGAGAGCGCAGTATACCCAAGATTGCATACCAATTCGTTTTACGAGTGGATCAGTCGAATACAAATAATACTGCCTAAAACGGAAAACCGCTTTAATTAATACGACATGAATGAACAAAATTAACTAAGTTGACTATTAAACTTGAGGAATAAACTGTTCTATGATTATATCCTACTACGGTCTACTATTCTATCCCTGTTAAATTCCAGTGTTACCATATCAACAACAGTGTGTAGATCTCATCCACATATGCGGGACGACTATGAGAACTCTGTGAAAAACATTGCTTTAGATAATAAACTTTTTCGAAATCTCTATAACTAACTTGCCCGAGTTTGAATCATACTTTCAGTATGTAAATAGTTATATCAACGCACATGTGCGCCGGTTCCTGACCCTTGACAAAATATTGTAGGCGCCACCACACAAGGCAAGATGTCGAAATTTAGTTGTTACAAAACTATAAAATCATCACAAAAAGTCGTTGGGAAAAGTCATTGGCGATTGGGTCTCACAGTATCTTAAGCACGTGGCAGGAAAACTATCCATTCGGTGATTAGAATTACGAAAACATTATTTTTATTTATTTCATTTCATACAACGCCTCTTTAACATCTACTGTGCGGATCCCAGCACTTCTTGCATTCGATTCGTTTTCCTGCATCCACCATCTACTAAAGCCTTCCAACTTTTAAGTGTGGCTTCGGCGGCTGCTTGTGGATTGTTGTCATTTCATCGTGAATGTCGTAGAATGCTGGTCGAGTCGATTATCCCTGAAGCCCCGAGATAGATTAGAGTGTTATCACTTGGATTTGACAGAGTGACTCTTCCTAGTCAAGTTTGGTACCAATTTCCCGACCCGGGAAGAATTAAAGGCTTGGTGAGTCCAGAGCGGGATCGGACCGGCATCGTGCTCATAATGACGGGCATCACTACCAATTTGCTATCCACCCCCCATTATAAAGACATTGGAAGAAAAATATGACGATCTTAGGGTACCTAATTCAAAAAACCATTGAACTATTATTGGACACTACAACGACAAATGAAACCACGTTGGCGCTCATTTGAGTCAGTTTACAATCAGGGTAAAGAAAGACCATAGCTAATACCTTCGGTGTACTTGAGTGTAAACAGATTGTATTTTCTACGTCGCTTCGGCTAAAACGCCGCAATACAATGAACGTTTAAACAATGGGTTTTTATTATTTACACAACCCATTTCCACATGTAGACCGCGGATTCGAGCACTTCTTACATTCGATTCGCTTCCTCGCATCCGTCATTCGCTAATGTATCCCAGCTTTTCGCATGTGGATTCGGCAACTGCTTGAGAATCTTCCTTCCGTGACGAATGTCGCTGAATGCCGCTCCAGTCGATTCTTCTCGGAATCCTGGGATAGCCGAGCTAGAGAATTCGCACTTTAATTGCAGGACGTGAACTGTTTCCAAACACGTCTGGTACCAAGTTCACTACCCTAGATGGATGGGGGGCTTAGTGAGCTTGAAGAGAGGTCGAACCAGAACCACGCTCATGATGAACGGCACCACAACCATTGCGCCACCCCACATCTCTTGTTAAAAGTAGTACACAAGACTGAGCAACTGTTCCTCGAAACACGTCAGTAAACTGCTATTTATTGAAAGCGAAGATTCATAGCCAGTGGAAAACCAGCAAAACGATTCTGTAGTATAAAGAGTGAGATAACAGAGCATCACCTTTTCCACAAGCCAGCTGCTGTGAGTCGTTCTCATGCACTTTGCCTGAATCATCCATCCTTCGTAGAACTGACCAAAGAGTTGATTAAATACAGCCATATTAGTCATAGCATCGAGTTTTGAACAGCGTTCAGTAAAATGGAGCATATCAACGCGGCAACGCAAGAAACAGGAATACCGCGACGGAACATTATACCCCCATGTCTCATTTTCATTCCCTTGAAGATAGTACTCGATGCAGATGAGATGGAAGCGATAATGACAATCAATGACAACAAAGAAGACGCCAACCAGCGGCATCATTTGTTAAGCGTAGAGAGTGACCTCATGAGTTATCTGATAACGCTAAAACGTACAGGCACCATTCTCACAAACATCACGTCAAAACCTTAGTAGAATAATATAATGATGGGATCTTAGCGTCGCTGATTCGTAAAACACCAAGCGCTGACCAATCCAACCAAGCACTGACTGATTTCGACGGCGTGTACGGAGAGCATGATTTTCTGCGTGATTCTAATAAGGAAAAGAAGACAAAGAGTATATGACATCGAAACCTTACGCTTCAAACGACAACCCTTGAACAAGAATAACCAGCATTTGATTCAAATGTCAAGAGAATTACGTGGAGACCACTTAACCCAGGGGTGCCCTTCTTTATGACAACCCAAAACAGAAAGTGTTACATTCCTCTATTTCTCGAGAGTTCAGGATCTAGTACAATGAACCTTATTTCTTACTCGTTCCTTTCGCGCTCCAATGCTACCTATTTGCTCTCCCTTTCCCAAGGACCGAAAGCGACTAGAATCACTAAGTAATTACCTACACTTGCACTAGTAATAATGAGTAATAATAAGAGTAATAGTAATAATAATAATAATAATAATAATGATAATAATTTCTATAATGCTGAGATATTTGCAGAATTCCGGGCCGCAGGTGGCTGCGGTGGGGAACGAACGCGCTATTGTCCTTTCCTGGGAGTAACGCGTTCACCACCACACCATGCGGGTCCTTCGTTTCGCCTGTCTCT